GGGTGACATAAGCGTTTTACTTACCATTGCCATTTTGAGTCATTTGAGCATTGTGTACGTTGCTCCGGCGCCGTTGTTAAGCTCTGCATTAACATAAACAGAGAAATGTAAGTAAACACAAATTATGAAATGTTTTGTTTTCTTTACGCTTTGAAGGTTGCACCTTGCTTTGGAAGAAAATTCAATTTTAGTTAACTCTCACCAGTGAAAACATGAAGTTTTGCTGGAAAGACTTCAACAAAAATATTCGAAAAATTTCCCTATAATTTTGATTGTTTTTCAAGAAATGAATTTGTGATACAGGTCGATTCTATGCGCTGGAGAAGGCGCACCGACTGGACCCAAGCTCCAGCGGCCGTGGTGTTCGTCAGTTCAAGACTGGCCTCCTTCAGAGATTAGAGAGGGTATGCAGTTATGTTTATATCATCGGCTTGGTTTTTTGTGTGATTTCATGGATATTAACTTCATTTCCCTCTTTATTCCTTGACTATTATGCATGTTTGTTTGGGTTTCAAGAATCTGATTGCTCGTCTGAGTTATTAGGCTGATCAAATTGATGGTTTCACATTTTTGAGCTCCGATACTATATTGAGTATTGGGTTAATCTTTTCAAATTTTGTGCTCTTTTTCATAGCGCAATGTTCCTTTGAGGCTTTATAACTATTCGATTTTTCTAGTTTTTTTTCATAATTCTCATTGTTTTATCTTCAAGTTTGTTTGTTTTGTGTATACCAACAAACTACGTGAAAACTATTGGTGGCTTCTCAGTGAGGTATTGGGTGGTGAATGGGAGTAAATTATTTACGTAAATGACTGAGTTAAGATACGCTAATAGAATTGAGTTCCTTGAACAGTTGGGTTGTGAAGGTATTGGGTATTTAAATATGTTGAGAAGAGGTGAGAAAATCCTCTTTGCTTTTAATTTTCTTCTTTTAAAGAATTTGGCTCCTTCTAGTTGTATACTTCTGTTTCTTTATATATTTTCAATATTCATTCATTATGTTTTGTAAAAAAGTCAATTAATTTCAAAAACTGGTCTCGTTGTAAGGCAGAACTCTTCATATGAAACCTTCTGGAATTGAATGAAAATAATAACCAGATGATTAAATTTGTGGCATGATATGTGATGTGGACAGTGGTGACTTTTCGGTATAGAATTTATCCTGGACTGTTTTAATTTATATGAAATCCAAGCTATATTTTTCAAGGATTAACTTTTTGGAAAGCTCTCATGTAGGATAATAACTCAAGTCTTCCTGCTCGGGTCAAAAAGACTGATGCTCGGGAAATTGAGAGCTTCTACAAACAATACTATGAGAAATATGTTGTGGCACTTAGCAAGGGGGAACAAGCGGATAGGTACTGGAAACATATTGGTTTCACAGAATCTCTCTTGCTGCGAATTTGTTGAAACATATCTGTTTTTAGGCTCATTATTCTATTGTTATTAACTTTCTTCTGACAGAGCTCAGCTTGGCAAAGCTTACCAGGCAGCTGGAGTCCTGTTTGAAGTGCTTTGTGCTGTTAACAAGACTGAAAAAGTCGAGGAAGTTGCTCCTGAGGTTTGTTTTGATCGTAACTGACTGAATTATACATGTTGTAGAAATTGATGGCAGAAAGATCTTAATAATGTAAAATGTTGGTTGAACAGATTATGGCTGCAGCAAATGATGTCCAAACAAAGAAGGAAATCTATGCTCCATATAACATTCTTCCCCTAGATTCTGCTGGGGCATCACAATCCATCATGCAGCTAGAAGAGGTGCCACACTTACACTATTCGTCCACCTGCATGCATATATGACTATGAAGATAGAGTTCCGTATAAAATACTAAGACATTGCACTCTTTATCACTTCCAGGTGAAAGCTTCTGTAGCTGCTTTATGGAACACACGAGGCTTAAGCTGGCCAGCCTCCTTTGAACAGCAGCGACAAAAAGCAGGGGAGTTGGACCTTCTTGATTGGCTGAGGGCCATGTTTGGGTTTCAGGCATGTCTTGCTGAATAAGACATTGAGATGTTTATTGATGAGAATTGATTCAAACATTTAGCATAGAAACTTACCATGGATGTTTTGATTCTACAGAGGGATAATGTCAGGAACCAGAGGGAGCATTTGATTTTATTGCTTGCAAATATTCATACAAGGCTCATCCCCAAGCCCGAACCACTAAACAAAGTTTGTATTCCTCTATCTGATTATGCTTTAAATGCATTGCAACCTCAAATTTTCCTTCTAAAGTCATCTCACTATCAATCGTATCTAGCACCTAATTTTATGCATGCATTTTGGACTCATCTCTCTTTTTTAAACTGAACGCTTCCTATTACGTATAGCTGGTGTACTTATTTCCTTGTTGCTGATATTTTACAAGCCTTCCATTCTCCTTTCCGTAGTGATATTTGTTTGGTATTCCATGTCTAAACCAATTTTCTGATTTGCTCTCAGCATCTTATTCATAAGTAACTTAATTTCTATGTGGGAGCACATATATATTTAAACTGGGCAGAAATAAACTTAATATCTATCGGTTTTACTCAGCTTGATGATCGAGCTGTTGATGCACTTATGAACAAGCTTTTCAAGAACTACAAAACATGGTGTAAATACTTGGGAAGGAAACACAGCTTAAGGTGAGATGATTGAGGTTATTTGTCATTTATTTGGGTGGTAGACTTGTGTAAAATGCCTAAACGATTTTAATGTTACCGAGTTCAGGCTCCTAATGAAAAATATATGAATCTTATTTCCTGTAGGCTCCCTCAAGGCCAGCAGGATGTGCAACAGCGAAAGATACTTTACATGGGCCTTTATCTTCTTATCTGGGGTGAAGCAGCTAATGTCCGCTTCATGCCAGAGTGCCTATGCTACATTTTCCATAATGTGAGTTGTTCATTCATTTTTGTTCTTTATATTACGATTAGTGTGCAATAATGTGTACATGTTAAGTAATTTTTTTAAAAACTGTATTTTTAATGCGTCCTAATGAAAAATATATGAATCTTATTTCCTGTAGGCTCCCTCAAGGCCAGCAGGATGTGCAACAGCGAAAGATACTTTACATGGGCCTTTATCTTCTTATCTGGGGTGAAGCAGCTAATGTCCGCTTCATGCCAGAGTGCCTATGCTACATTTTCCATAATGTGAGTTGTTCATTCATTTTTGTTCTTTATATTACGATTAGTGTGCAATAATGTGTACATGTTAAGTAATTTTTTTAAAAACTGTATTTTTAATGCATATTTCTTGCGTTATATGCATACATGTTCAGATGGCATATGAACTCCACGGTCTCTTAGCTGGAAATGTCAGCATTGTTACTGGAGAAAATATCAAACCTTCTTATGGCGGGGATGATGAAGCTTTCTTGCGGAAAGTTATAACACCCATTTATCGAGTGATTGAAAGGGTAATTTATTTTGTAGATGAATCAAATGGTTGTAGGAATCCTTGTCCTTGTTTCATAAATAACATAATGGTGCTTATCATGTTCCAGGAAACCAAGACGAGCAAAAATGGGAAAGCACCTCACTCAGCCTGGTGCAATTATGATGATCTGAATGAGTATTTCTGGTACGAGAAATTAAAAACATATAATTCTCTACTAAAATTGAAAAAAAGGATAGCTTGCTCGCAGTTTCCTGAGAGTAAGGTTTGACCAATTCTTTGTAGGTCGTCAGATTGCTTCTCTTTGGGTTGGCCAATGAGTGACGGGGGTGAATTTTTCAAATTGACAAAAGATTCAGCAAAGGTAAGGTCTACTCCATGCAGAGGTTCTCTGTCACATGAATTAATACTTAGCTAGTTGGCTTAATATGATTGATGTTCCAGGGAAAGCAAGCTCCTCATAAAAAGCGAGGATCGATGGGGAAATCATTTTTTGTGGAAAGCCGGAGCTTTTGGCATAACTTTCGAAGTTTTGATCGTCTTTGGACATTTTACATACTTGCTCTTCAGGTATCTAATTCCAGCAGATAAAAGACTATAGTCGAGATTTCCTCTGCTCCTTTCTTCAGGGGATTGTGCTTATGTTGGGGTTATGATGTTGCAGGCCATGATTATCATTGCATGGAGTGATGTTTCTATATTAGATATTTTCCGGAAGGATGTCTTGTATGACTTGTCGAGCATTTTTATCACGGCGGCCTTTCTTCGCTTCCTACAGAGTATGTTATTCTTGTTTATATAGCTAAGACAATGGCATCAAGGTTATCAAGTTATTAATTAAGTTTATACTAAGCCCATGTTTGATGGGGATTCAAATCAAATTTTTAGTAAATTTTGAAGAAAGTTGAAGAAATGTGTGGTTGAAAAGTTGTGGATCCCATAAAATGTGTGGTTAAAATTAGTTATTAACTTTGACTTAAATTGCAATTTGGATTTTAATTTCTACCAAACAGGGCTTAAATGTTTAGCTGATGAGACTGGGAAATATTTTCTAGTTGAACTCATATGGATTTAAGTTTTAAATCTTGAGTTTTAATTCATCATTTGATTGAGAAATAAATTCTCTCCATAATTTCGTATAGGTATGTTGGACCTCATTCTAAACTTCCCGGTGTATCTTAGATGGAAATTCACTGATGTATTAAGGAACATCCTCAAGATAATTGTCGGCCTTGCTTGGTCCATTGCTCTTCCAATATGCTATTTGCACCAGAACAATTCATTTTCATTTGGGAAGATCAAAGATATGCTCTCCTTCCTAGATAAGATTAAGGGAGTGCCTCCATTGTATCTCATGACTGTGGCTGTATACTTGCTACCCAATCTACTGGCAGTAGCTTTGTTTCTTTTCCCAATGCTACGACGTTGGATTGAGAACTCGGATTGGCTTATTGT